CTTCCTTTCCTTCTTTTTATATCTATAAAAAATATATCTAAAATCGATGTTTGTTATCGCGTTGCGCAAAATCTACAGAATCAATCATTATGAAATTTCGCATGTAGGTAGCTAAATATTTCGTTTAACATATAAGCTATTCAAAAAACTAAAAAGGTTAATGTGCTTTTTTTAATGTAAAACCAAAGAGCGTTATTTTCAGCCTTTTACCGCTTGGCGCAGCACTGGTCGCGATGATAAATGATTTTGATTGGTTAATAATTTTATACGTAGTTTGTTTACACGATGAATGTTTTTAAAAGGTAAGGTTATCCAATCGCCGTGAAAATTTAGGAAGTTATTTACAATACTACTGGAAAGGTTTCTGGTTTGAAATTGATTTGAAATAAATATTCGTTGCGATTTTCTTTGAAAATGTTCTACTCTCATTCGCAAGCAGCGCCTCTCACGGTTTCTGGTGAATTACTTTTATAAATTGTAAAAATTCTAAAAATGTGTTCTAAGTATAATAAATTTAATTAGAAATATATCAATATAATATTCCAAAGACGTTGTGAAAAAAACTTGGCATTTCAATATTGTCACAAAGTATTTTGATTCAACTATTTTGTAGATATGTAAATGTTCTAGCTAGTTTTCTATTAATTTATTTTTTTTGTTTGTTTGGGTCTATGTAAATATTTGACGTCAATTGTTGCGCCTTCTACTATGTAAATATTTGAGGATTAGTTTTTATTATTAGGCTGACTGTCTAGAGTAAGATAGATAAAGCATATAGTTGTTGTCGGCTTTTTCTGTTTGACAGAGTGTTGAATAAAACTACTTTTGAGTTTGCTTCGTGATTCCGTGGCTTACCAGCGACAGAATTAAAGAAAATATCGTAAGAATTTTAATATACATTTAAAGAAAATATTGTAACGTTTTTGTGTTAAATGATAAAATGTTGTAATGTTAAAATATATTTTTACATTGTTAATTTGATTTGTTGTTGTTTTATTATAATGATGATGCAAATTTAATTGTTGTTGTCTCGAGCAGAAGGCACACGAAGCCAGGTCATCTCTATATATAAAATATCGTTTCTCGACTTTTTGGCTAAGATCGTGTAGTATATCTATGTTGAGTTTATAAAAGATTAGGCCTAAAAGCCTAACCTTACAAATACTTTGCTACAATATAAATATATCTTTCACGGGGAGTTTAATTAATGTGATTCCATGATCGGAGGACGGATAAGTCCGAAATATCAGAAATAAGAAGTTTTACAAGAAACCCAACCCTGGAAGAATTATTTATTTCACTACCTTTTTTTTAAAGAGACTACGGCGTCAGGCAGCGACGAAAGGAGATGCACCGGTTTTTACCACAATGTATATATGTTTTAAAATATATCTGATCCGTTTGCTTCGTTTATATTTTGAACGCAGGTTTTAGAGCTAATTCTGAACAACGGAATTTTCTCTATAGGGTATTCACAGATGTTAATCGCTACTGAAATTGTTCACAAAAATATACTGTTCTGAATGTGCATAGCTTTCTTAAATAAATTTTTAAAAATACATTCTTGGGTATAATCGTGATTTTATATTTAAATTGATACTTATATACACACATTTAATGCCTATATATTTCTCTATGATATAAAAATAGTGTTCAAAAGGCAATAAATTAACTGAACTAAGTTGTCCATATATCATGTTGGTATTAAATAGTTGTTTATAGATATGTATTTTCGAAATGGTGCATTTGTTATTTTTATAAGCTTTCAGATTAAATTAGGGTTTTTTTCAGAATATAGAATTTTATACTTGAGTATAAAGTATCTAATACAAAAATCAGTTTGAAATTACGTCAATACTTGAAAGAACAATGCTTAAAGGAAAGCTGTAACTTACTGGATAAACGAGTGTGTTTTTAAGACAATGATATTGACATAGGTATAAGAACATTGAAGTTGCAGACTTTGTCAGCTGTTTCTATCATATTCACTTAAGATGTGTGTTGGGGCGTCAGAGATTTTCACAAATAAATTCAGTCAAGGACTGAGATGATGGAAGGGAAGTCGTAGAAAAACTTAAGAGAAACCTGGATTTAACTTGAGAAATTTCTCTTCCAATCTGGATTCCCAAAATCGAAATGGTAATTTTGGGATATTTCCTGGAAGATGTACTCGTCCATTAAAAACAGAGTTGCTAGTGATGGCAGAGAAGTTTACCGTGATTCGCTGGAGAACCTAGGTCACAACATTATCATCGAGAATAGCGTCTTGACTGGGACTAAATTTTTTTGAGGAGAAACATGAAAATGTATTCCTGGATGTCCTAGGTGAAGATTCTGGAATTAGCTTGTATAAAAGCCAATATGCGTTCAGGAACTGTGACTCTATATGATATTGTTGACGTTGAGAATTCAGATAGAAACAGTATTTGCCAGTAATTTCAAACATTCAATTATTTTTTATGAAAATAAGTTGAAATTATTTGTGCAAGCGATAGTTTGATGATCTATTTCCACGTCGCGTTAGTTGAGAATGTTTATGGCAAGTGCTGATCGCTAAGTTATGATAGATACTGCCCCCTGACCTGAAATAATCTGATAAAATAAATGTATATTGCTTTGCCTGATAATCATCACGTCATAATCATGTCAGGTTTCAGATTCAAATTTGGCAGTTATAGAGTTTGATCCTGGACTTTGCACTTCAGCAGAATGAAAATACTCCAGTTCTTAATATATTTACTTCATTTCTTGGTATTATTCCTTTTTTTATGTCTGCGTTTATCCTTACTTAGAAAAGCCCAGAAAAAAACCTTACTATCTCTTAGACACAAATTTACTTAAAATATCCTAAGGACATTCTTCAAAGAAACGTTGTTTCCTTGATACTCTGAGAAAAAGAACAGGGCAGATTATAAACTTTAAAGCGTCTCGATTAACTGTAGACAACACGACTTCCTCTATGTAAGATTCCAAGAATAACAGATAACGCTTGTTTGACTTAGAGGTAATCTCTTATTGGAGAGTCGTTGAATTTTAAGTCTATTTTCTATAAAATTGGGTGTTTAAAGAGGCTGTCGCTCATTATAAAGAACGGATATGTGAGAGGAATTGCTCTTGATTGGCTTTGCTACATGATATCATTTAGCTTCTTGCTATTTATGTCATGTGTTTATTGGCTTCTATCGCGAGCTCGAACATCTTGGGTAAAATTATGCTCTATCTCTCTGATAATTCCTACAGAATTATTTGGGCTCCTGTAAAATTACATCTTCAGGTTTGTAGCGGTCATGAGATATGTGAAGTAATATTTGTTAATATGTGTAATAATATATATTTCAATATATACTTGATGTTTATATTTAACAAAATAAATTAAATTAAATATACAAAATTTGAAAGGAAATTTTGAAATCTGTCCGTTCTTGGCCAACCTGACAACCCAGAAGTCTGAAAATTGGCCAGCTAGCATTGTCATCAGGTTTGAACATGTGTACCAAATATCATATTTCTAGGTGCCCTATAAGTATATTAAAAATTGATTACAAGATTTGGCGACAGACATCCAGACAGATAGGCAAGTTAAATAAAAGCTTTCAAAAAGGCATATATTGGATCAAAATATCATTTATTTTAAAAATATTTCAGTTGGCTGAACGCCAACCTTTATCAAGGTGTTATACCATATTTAATGTGTAAAACGACATTTGAAAATTTTCCCGCATGTGTTTATTTTGAACGAAAAATCAAAATTTATTCCAAGGAGAAATACCGATTATTTCTACCCTTAGAGATGAGGTATGAAAAGATGAATTGTAAAGAGTAATGATAAACCAAAAAAAAAAATTAAATTTGAAATCTACTTATATAATTGCCTTATTCTGTCTGTGTGAAGTTCACTGTCTGAAGTTCACGGATAGATTTTGGTCAGAATGGATAAAATAAAAAAAGTGTCAAGGGATGGGAATCGAACACCTCTGTATAAAGGACAGTTTTCTTCACCAATACAGTAGAACCTCCATGAGAGGACACTCACGCTAGAGTACATCTCTCTATAAAGGACAGTTTTCTTCACCAATACAGTAGAACCTCCATGAGAGGACACTCACGCTAGAGGACACCTCTCTATAAAGGACAGTTTTCTTCACCAATACAGTAGAACCTCCATGAGAGGACACTCACGCTAGAGGACACCTCTCTATAAAGGACAGTTTTCTTCACCAATACAGTAGAACCTCCATGAGAGGACACTCACGCTAGAGTACATCTCTCTATAAAGGACAGTTTTCTTCACCAATACAGTAGAACCTCCATGAGAGGACACTCACGCTAGAGGACACCTCTCTATAAAGGACAGTTTTCTTCACCAATACAGTAGAACCTCCATGAGAGGACACTCACGCTAGAGGACACCTCTCTATAAAGGACAGTTTTCTTCACCAATACAGTAGAACCTCCATGAGAGGACACTCACGCTAGAGGACACCTCTCTATAAAGGACAGTTTTCTTCACCAATACAGTAGAACCTCCATGAGAAGGCACTCACGCTAGAGGACATCTCTCTATAAAGGACAGTTTTCTTCACCAATACAGTAGAACCTCCATGAGAGGACACTCACGCTAGAGGACACCTCTCTATAAAGGACACTTTTCTTCACCAATACAGTAGAACCTCCATGAGAGGACACTGACGCTAGAGGACACCTCTCTATAAAGGACAGTTTTCTTCACCAATACAGTAGAACCTCCATGAGAGGACACTCACGCTAGAGGACACCTCTCTATAAAGGAAAGTTTTCTTCACCAATACAGTAGAACCTCCATGAGAGGGCACTCACGCTAGAGGACATCTCTCTATAAAGGACAGTTTTCTTCACCAATACAGTAGAACCTCCATGAGAGGACACTCACGCTAGAGGACATCTACTTATATAATTGCCTTATTCTGTCTGTGTGAAGTTCACGGATAGATTTTGGTCAGAATGGATAAAATAAAAAAAATTGTCAAGGGATGGGAATCGAACCCACGACCCTCCGCTTACCGGGCAGATGCCATGACCACTAGGCTACCCTGGACATATTTTCCCGTTCATAAAGTTAATATATGATGCCAATATATATAATAATTGTATAAACGAATGCAAGACAAAATCACCGCGATTGTTTCTTTTTTTTAGGGCAATTTCTTTTTAAGGCAATTATCGTTTTGCACAATTACTTAATCTTTTAAAATAAATAACAATACTTAAATGAAAATATGTTTATTTAAATAAAATAAAATAAACCTTTAAATCGGTAACCTTTATGAGAACCTTTAAATATATATAAGTACCTTTAATCGATAATCTTTATAAGAATAAAATATGTAATTCATTAAATAGAAATTTAATTTTTAGTATCTCATTTATATTTTATTGTATTATATTATATATTATATTTTATATTATTATTTATATTATTATATATTATATTATATTTTATATTTGAACGATAGGCTCATTATTTCTTTATACCGTTATTATACCGTTATATTATATACAAGGTATGTCCCATAAGTTCCCGGACTGGGTCCATAAAAAAATAAATAAATGAAAAATGTAAATAAATTTGACTGTTTATTATAGAAAAAATATCTGGGAACACGGTGGTACCAATATCGATGCGGTACATTAGCGCGCGCCAAGGTCATTCTAATTTATTTAAAGGTCACACCTAGCGCTGCGGCTATTTTACGATGGAACAAAAATTGAAGCAGAGGATTTGCATAGAAATTTGTGTGAAACTTCAAATATCAGCAACCGAAACTTTTAAAATGCCTAATAAAGCATTCCCCAATGACCCCCCAAAAAGAACAACTGTTTTTGAATGACATTCTAGATTTAAAGCTGGCAGAATTTCTATTGAAGATGATCCTCGGCAAGAACGCCCAAAATGTGCAAAAAATCACCGATTTGATAAAAGAAAATCCTCGAACCACTTTGCTGGAGCTAGAGCAAGACACAGGCATCTCTAAAACAACGATTGGAAGGATCGTAACCAAAGATTTGAAGCTCAAAAAGACTCCTGCAAAATTCATCCCAAGATTCCTCACTAATGAACAAAAACTGTGTCGGCTTGCAACCTGTGAGAACATGTTAGAAATGACAAGAACGGATCCGGAATGGAAAGACAAGATAATCACAGGCGACGAGACATGGGTCTATGACTATGACCCTGAAACCAAGCGTCAATATGCCGAGTGGAGAGGTCAGGGTGAGCCTAGACCAAAATAATCCAGGATATTGAAATCCAGAAACAAGGTGTTGCTGGTCGCTTTTTTGGATAACAAGGGCATTGTTCATCACGAGTATTTTCCTGCAGGCCAAACGGTTATTAAGGAAATGTATTTGGACATTCTTCGCCATCTAAGGGAAGCGATTCGAAAAAAAATGCCAGAAAAATGGCCTAATGGTGACTGGATCCTACACCATAACAATGCCCGCCCTCACACAGCGCACTTGGTGACGAGTTTTTTTGGCTAAAAACGGGACAGAAATCCTACCTCAACCACCCTATTCTCCAGACATCGCACCAAATGACTTTTTCCTGTTTCCCAAACTTAAAGCAGTTCTAAAAGGAAGACATTTTGACACCAGGGATGACATAATAGAAAAATCGCTGTTGGCATTGAAGAGCATTCCAAATGAGCTCTATAAAAACTGTTTCGACAATTTGGGGAAACGATGGCGCTGGTGCGTTGAAGCAAGGGGGTATTACTTTTAAAAGTTTTAATAATTTTTTTAAAAAATATCTTACTTTTTTTTTATGGACCCAGTCCGGGAACTTATGGGACACACCTTGTATATTATATTATATTATATTTTATTATATATTATACCGTTTTGCACATATATATTACACATATATATTATATATTATATTATATTATATTATATTTTATATTTGAACGATAGAGGCTCATTATTTCTTTATACCGTTATTATACCCTTATATTTTATATATTATATTATTAATAAATACATACACATACACATACAAACCACAAACAGAAGAAATTTCAACTTATGAAATCAGCTGCAAATACAAAAAAAAATGAATTTAAAACTAAACCTAATAAAACTAGAGGTAAAACTACCAATAAATTAGGTTACATTGAATTTGAAGAATTACTGGACCCAAAACAAATGTACACTAACAACTTCGTCGATAAATTTATTAAAACATTATTTAAACTATAAATAATAATAAATTTATCAAACTTATAGAATATATTAAAATTCATAATCTGACTAACAGATTAATAGATATCACACACGACATCTTTAAATACAGAAAAATTAAACAATCTACTAATAACATTAATATTATCATTAAATTTAATAACAATTTATTTAATCATATTAAGTTTAATGATATTTTTAATAACCAAAACATTAATAATCTTTTCCCTATAAAAAATTTAAATTTCAAAACAATCTGGAGATACAACAAAAATATAGGTAATTTAGTTTGCAATTATAACCAATTTATTAATAATTTGGCAAATTTTAAAAAATTAAATGTAATTGCAACAACTATATCGATAGATATAAGTTTTCTGGTCATATATTAACTAGCAATTTTTCTTTTTTAAATCCAGAATATCAGGATATTTTAAATAAAGGGTATAAATATATACCTCAAATTAAACACAATTATAATAATACAATTAAATCTATATTAAAAGATATAGATATTTTCATAAATAAAACTAGTATAAAATACAGTTTTCCAGAATTTACTTTTCTGGAATGGAAACATAATATTAAAAAGGAAATTATAAATTATTATAATAATACACTTAAATACACAAACCTAATTCAGATATTCCTTCTTTTAAAGAAAATATAATTAAATTACAGAAGGACTTTATTATCACTCCTATAGATAAATGTTCCAATAACTTATCTATAATTTGTAAAAATCTATACCACGATATACTAAAAAAGGAAATTGATAATAATCATAAATACACTTTTGCTAGAACTACAGCCACAAAAATCAAAAAAGACATCAAAAACGTTGAATATTCACTAAAAATTTATAATCACTACAAAAATCCAAACATACCAAAGTTCTATATAATTCCTAAACTACACAAAAAACCTATTTCTTTCAGAACAATCACATCTGGTATAAATTCAGTTATAAAAAACATTGATATACAATTAGCTTCAACACTACAATTTATTATAAATAAATTAACTAATAAATATAATTATAAATTTATCGACTCAAATAAAAAAATCATTAACTATTTAATGAACAATTGGACAAACATGGAAACAGTACACACATTTGACTTTGAGGACCTATATTCTAAAATAAATTTAAGAGATCTAAATAATAAAATAACCAATTTATTTAACGAAATCATTAATGACAAAACTTTCCACATTAAAATTATTCATAACAGATATAAAACAATTAAATTAGATCTTAAAACAGCAAAAACTCTACTGGAAACATTTTTAAATTTTAACTATATAGAATTTAAAAATAAAATATATATTCAATCAGAAGGCGTTCCCATGGGAACTTCTTCCAGTCCTTTATTAGCAAACTTAATATTATTCTGGTACGAAAGAGAATACTTTCTACAAAATAATGTTAACTGGCAAATGTTCCGTTATGTAGATGACATCATAATATTTAATAATCCACAGTTCAAAAACTTAATACCTAAAATTTATCCTAAATACTTGAAACTTAAGAACAATGAAAAAATTTATAGAAACAAAAAAGTTAACTTTTTAGACCTAAATATAGACCTTACAAATAATGCTATTAAAATTTATAATAAAAAAAAGTAATTATAATTTCAATATTATAAAATACTGTAATATGAATTCTAATATTTCATTAAATTGTTGTAAAGGTATATATTTTGGTCAGTTTCTAAGATTTTATAGAATAAATAATATATTAGAAAATTTCATAGAAGATGTTAAAAATTTAAACATGGAATTTATTAAAAATAAATTTAGTATCAGACAAGTAAAATATTTCAACAGTATATCAATTATAAAATACTTAAAAAAATAAATGGAAGTATCCATTTATTAAATCAACTTTCTATAATTTCTCTCAATAATAAATACTACAAATTAATAATATTTAACAATTAGTTAAACTTAAATTAAATAGCTGATTTGAAGATTTTTTCAAAAGATATTTAAAGTAATATTGTATAGAATTCATTTTGTTTAATCTCCAATTTCTGGGGAGGAAAATGGAAATTAAATAAAAGTGAATTTTCACAATTAATAGCTTTATTAAACTCTAATAGTTTGCCTTTTTAAAGGAATATTGAAAGATGAATAAGTGTTGAATTAGTTATTTTAATATAACTGGCTGTAAAGATTATAAAGTTTGGATTTCTTCCCTTAACTATCTTTTCTTTCTTCTATGAATATCTTGTTGTTCTAAAACTTCAGAATGGACGGTCTAATTTTGTCCCCCACCCCCCACAACATGTGTCATCCAGAAATAGATGTTTACAGTTGAAAGCGGCGCGGTCAAGGTAGGTTCACAATAAGAATTTGGTAACACTTATATCTGTTATATCTGTTCATATAAATGTTTCACTGAAGTAACTTTATATTAACACATAAAATCCGGTTGAAAAGAGGTCTATGACGTAATAGAGAAGGGATGAAACGCCGCTGAACTTCTATTTGAGAATTCCCGGTTCAGCAGACCTCTTTTTTCAATAATTACTCCAATTTAAATTTTTTTGTATATGTCTGGTCTATCATTAGGGTTTCAAAACATAATAACCAAACTTATAACAAAAGTTAATTCATAGTATAGATATATTACTAAATACAACTATTTATATTCATATTTTAAAATAAAAAAAATTAAAAAATCATTTAAAAAAAAAACGCTAAAATATAAAATTATAAAAATATATATATATATACTAACAATCTTGACTACCTTCTTTACAAAACTTTTTGTCTTCTTATTATTAGTTTGATCAAAAGTACATGGTTCTGTCTTTCTCTCTTTTTTCTAACTATTATATATATTCTC